GATTGCTGAGCCTGTGGGTTCGAGACCCGCCTGGGCAGCAAGACCTCATCTCTACAATAAATCAAAAATGAGCCGGGCATGGTAGCGCGCGCCTGTAGTTCCAGATACTTGGAAGGCTGAGGCGGAAGGATCGCCGGAGCCCAGCAGGTCGAGGCTGCGGTGGCCGGGAGCGGCCACTGCACTCCAGTCTGGGCAACAGAGTGAGACTCCAACTCAAAAAAAAAAAACAAAAAACTTGGTTCACTTCTCTTTTACACTCCAGGCACTCCAGTGACTCTTTTGATAATGAATCCTATTGCCCTCTGTCTTGTAATACAGCTATCTATGTATATGTCTGTTTCCTCCACTACAAGCTCCTTGAGGTCTTCTTCACGCCTGATAGTGTCTTACACATGCTGAGCACTCCAGAAATAAACATTGAATTGAATAAAAATTAATTTAAATTAGTGATACAGAATTTTTTCAAAACAGCAAAAATCTAAATGAAAACAAAACAAAACAAAACCCCACTTTCTTATTGATTTCAGTTTGCAATCTTCTTTTAGCTTCAAATGTTGTCTCAGAAATGTATGAGATCTTCATTCTTCATTGACATTCCAACCTTTCCCCCTGCTGGCCAGGTAATAAAGAGCTTCTAGAACCTCAAATCTGATCTGACACTTTGACTTTCCAAAATCATTCTTTTTTTTTTTTTTGAGTTGGAGTCTCACTCTGTCGCCCAGACGGGAGTGCAGTGGTTGCTCCCGGCCACTGCAGCCTCGACTTGCTGGGCTCTGGCGATCCTTCCGCCTCAGCCTTACGAGTAGCTGGAATTACAGGTGCGTGCTACCACGCCCGGCTGGTTTTTTGATTTATTGTAGAGATGAGGTCTTGCCAAGTTGCTCAGGCGGGTCTCGAACCCGCGGGCTCAGGCAATCCACTCACCTCAGCCTCCCAAAGGCGCGGGATTACAGGCTGAGCCACTGAGCCCGACTCCAAAATCATTCTTAATGATGAGTTTTCTTTCTAAGTTACTATAAAATGCTGACGCTTTAGTGACAAATCAAATGAAGGCCATAGCACAATAGGTATAGAAGAATATTTTATGAATTCTAACTACACAAATTCAGACAGTATATATGTTTATTCTTGGTAGAAAGTTTGAACTTGATGTTTTAGGACTTCATGTTTATAATGCATTATTTTATATAAAACAGCCCTATAAAAAGTGATTGCATTATTTTTCTTATTATTGTCCATCTACATAGTTTAAAACATGCAACTATGCTTTAAAATTGTATTTTAAAGTTTAGAATATGATTTATTTAAAGTTTTTCACTAATTAAAACACTACACCCTTTACTTGAAATTTGTAATTCTTTGCTAAGTAAAACGTATTTATCATAAACAATATTTGAAATGGTTGGCACTTTCTCTACATTAAAATGATGATCTACTCTTGTGTGTTTTTATTTCTACTGAACAATCAGTTGCCTTCTTCAAGTTAAATTGCTACTAAGAAATAAAAAATGCAAACTGTTCATTTTCTTTAAACAAATTCCCCTCTACAAAGGAGCAACAGAGTTTTAAAACTTGATCTATATTCTTATTAAAATTCCAAGCATGACTGAGCAACAGTATGTCAGGCACCTTTCAGACACAAAAGAGACACCTCCTATCTTACTAGGCCCCTTCTAAGCCAGCTGACAAACTACAGACTAATCCCAGAGGCAAAGGTGTTCTGTTTTATTGTGTTTGTGCATGAACCAGAGTAATGACTTTAAGTTATCAGATAACCACTTCAATTCATTTTAATTCATCTTTTTATCAGACATACACAAAAAGAATGAATAAGGGACTATTGATATCAGAAAGCCCCATTCCATCTTATGCTGTGCAGAATGTTGGTGGGATGGGAAAGAAGAAAAATATGGCCCATTCATTGCTGGTGTTCAATAATAAAGATCATAAAAACCACTAAATTGAACTCTGATTTAGAGAGCAATTCTACCTCAACATTTATAAGTTACAATACTTCTTTGAAGAAGCAATTCTCATTCTTTTCTCATGTTCATTCATCAAATCCCAAAGATTGCTGTTTCTGCAATCTGTAATCAAGAGATTCCTTTGAAATGTATAGAAATTCTATACTTGCTGCCGCCACCCACAGTTTTACCCCACCAACACACTTGCAAAAAAATCCTAGCATAATTGTTTTCTTTACTTCTCTATTCAGAGATACTCATTAAAAAGTCGGGGTGCAGACTTTGCTAACAGTTTTATAACATTCTGTAAGAGCTAGATTTTATAATCTGTAGAATTTCTGAAAGCACAGGATTTCATGGTTCTAAAGAAGCCTGTCTTTTCCATTAGCCACCTAATTTTCACTTAGATTTATGAGAGTAAGCAGAACTATACAGCAGAACTCATCCCATTTTTAACAGAACCAATGCCCTAATGTACATGGCCTACTACTGTTAGTGCCAACAGCGACATCTACTGGTGATCTCGGAACAGGATTGTTAAACCTTAAATGGTGTAAAAATTGACTCTCATAGCTTCATAATTTTTTTAAAATTTCTTATAGTGAGGAAAAACAATGTTTTTATGATATCAACTCTTGTGCAAAGTAATGGTGATACCAACAGTACAGAACAAGGTATGTAGTTTCTATTTCAAGAACCTCATAAATTTTACATTCTACCGTCTATGCTTTAATCTGAGTATATATGTGTTGGGAATATGAAGACAGGGTGGAGTGAAAACATAAAGGAATGTATTTGGTGAGCCAGGCTCCATGATAAAAATAAACAACTATTAATTATAACTGGGTTGGGTACAGTGGCTCTCGCCTGTAATCCTAGCACTTTGGGAGGCCGAGGGCAGGAGGATAGCTTGAGCTCGGGAGTTTGAAACCAGCCTAGACAACTTAGCGAGACCTTGTCACTACAGAATAATAATATTATAATAAATAAATAAATAGATAAATAAATAAATAAATGGGCTTGATAGCGTGCACCTGTAGTCCCAGCTACTCCTCACGAGGCTGAGGCTGAGGATTGCTTGAACAAGAAGTTAAGGCTGCAGTGAGCCATGACCATGCCACTGCGACAGCCTAGGCAACAAAGTGAGACTCAGACAAACAAACCAGAAATTAGTTACATGCCAAAGCTAGGCAGGGAGTAAATAGTAGGCAATTCAGTGGCCATTTTGACTTTGATTAGTTAATATCAGTCCTTTATTTAATCATGACTTTAGAAAAAATAAGCATTATATTAGTTTAAAATAGGGGGGAAGGAGTATTTCACTAAAAATACATTGATCCTCTAATTCTATTATTTTAAGGTCCTGTGAAACATTCCGAACATCTTCTCAGACCTGCTACCTTGCAGCCACCTCAAGCTCAAAGCTGTAAAAACTTAAGAAAAACATTTGAACACACAGCATCAGAATCCTGCATGACTAAAGAAAAAATTAAAAATAAAGTAAGAAAATCCTTGATAACAGGACTGACCTCAATCCCTCATCCTTCTTTTTGCAGGTTGTTTTGGGCCTCCACATCTAGAATTAAGAATTGCTGGAGCTTTGTTTTATTGCCGAAGCAGCTGCCAGCCTTGAGAAACACCTGGGCTAGATAGCAGAAGGTCCTTGGTAGCTTTATTTAATTTGTATTATTATTTTGGAGGGTTGTTCTCTGGAACACATTTTGTGGTCTCTCATAAGTTGTAAAGCTAAGTACTAGGTAGTTGGAACCTGTGGGTCTTTTTCCAGAGCACTGACCGTATGTGAAAATTGGAGGAGCAATGAGGTAGCCAGGGACTCCAGAATCAGTAGTCAAAAAAAGTTAAAAAAGGAATAGGTATTTTCTATATCCCTAACTGGTTGACATCATAGTGTGGCTTTGTCAGTTTAGGTCATACAAAGGATTCATTCCAGAATCCCTTGAATACAAGGAATTTACTCATCTTCATGAATAACAAGAGCAGTGAACTCCCTATGCAGTGTAACTGGGAAGGCCTGGGAAGCCTCAGAGATAGGTAACAGTCAACTTTGCCAACTGTTGTAGTGTCTGAATCACTCATTGTAGACTTTTCTAAGGAGATATTAATTTGCTTGAGCCTTGCTCATATGGGTTTGGGGATCTATTCTATTGCTGTAGCAGAAGCAGACACTTGGAAGAAATAGAACACAAGATAGGTAGGTTGGAATTTGAGAGTTATTCCATCAGCCATTGAAGGTTAGTCACATAATTTTGCTTTTTTTCCCCCCTCTAGTGAACATAAAAACTAGCAACACATGGAAGTGTAAAAAAAACACCAATTGGTATTAATCCTGTCTCTGCCACTATCCATGTTTACCCAAACAAAGCACATAGCCAACATTCTTTTTTTATCAGCAAAGTGGTAGAGTTAAATTTGGTTAGTATTTACCAATATATCTATTTTTCTAAACCCTTTTCTTCGTAAGATATGATTTCATGAGACCCATTATAAATTTTAAAAGTCAATTCATCATTAATGCATGCATTTAATAATTCAATGCATTATTTTTAAGTAAAATATGTTTTCAATTTTAAATAAATATATTAAAAGTTTTTATTTAGGTATAATGTAATAATGATCATCTTGTTAGGAAGAATATTCATTCTTACTTTTATCTATTTAAGAAGTGATGAATGTTGCTTAACTTGTTTTAAATTATGTAAAAAAAGAATAATGTGTTGACTAATTTCTAAAATGTTATTATACTGCATTTGATTGTGAAAGGGCATGCACTATAAAGTATAGATCAAAAATTTTGACTACATGTTATGACATCAAAAGTAGATAAATATTTCTATCTTGGCATGAATTTTGTAAATCTTATATATTTTAAGATAAAACTTACCAATATATTTCTTGCATTTTCTTCCTAAATGCTAAAACATAAGACAAAATTTCAAGCCATTGTTTGTATTTATTTTTGAATAACTCATAAGGCCTAATGAATAGACCTTATTTCCAATTATTGAAAAGCTCTATTGGTTATACTCATCATTAAAGTTTATGTTTAATGATAACCTTTGAAGATCCAGAGATACACTATATATAAGATATAAGAATTTTGACCAAATTAATGTAATTTACAGATCTGGTAAAAATTATTCCTAGTGAATTTTGTAGAACCATTATTTTTATACTTACTAATTTGTATGAGGGGAAACCAAAAAAACCCTGAAATGTATTTATAAAAAATTGTGTATTTATTCTTTCATGTTTAAACTTCAATCACCTTCAGAGTACTCTCTGTTTGATGTAATACATCTATTGAGACACATTTTTCCACTGCTCAAAACAGTTTTTGAACTTGTCAACGTTGACGCCTTTTAGAGCGTCTGTTGTTTTTTGTTTTACCTCTTCCACATTGGAAAAACGTTTCCCTTTGAGGACTTTTTCATCCAGGGAAACAAGAAATGTCGCTTGGTGTGAGACTGGGTAAATAGGGAAGGTGGGTCACGGGGGTCATGCCATTTTCGGTCAAAAACTGCTGAACACTCCGTGCAGTGTGGGCAGGTGCATTGTCATGGTGGAAGAACCAGTCACCTGTTTGCCACAACTCTGGATGCTTCTTCCATAACTCATGACACAACCTTCTCAAAATTTCCTGATAAAAACTTTGACCATCTGATCCAGAGGAACAAATTCCGAGTGTACTACAAAATATAATTCCATCTTTTTTGGGGGGCGGTCCCTCCTCATATACCCAAGTCAGAGAAATTATTCATCCTATCAATGGTCATTGATTTTGTATAAATTAAACAATAACTGCCTTAAAATATTTTAAGCAACATAAGAGTAAAATCTACCAATTTGGCTAAGAGATAAATCATTTGAACCACTAGGTTATAAATATATACTCTGATCTCTGCCTATCATGGTGCATGTTCTCTTAACACATTAATCAGCTCTCAGACTCTTGTTAAAATAGGAAAAAAATACTCAAAATTATTTTTATTGATTGATATAAAAATGTAAGGGGAAACATGCTATATCTGCCTTTAAAAGACATGAACCCACTGGAACATCTTTGCAAATTCCCAGTAGGGGAGGAAGGTGTTCACAAAACATTGTAAACATTAGGCCAGATAATTTATAGGCTTCCTTACAGTTCTAAAATTCTTCACTTCTACATTCATATATTAACACAGGAATTTTGCATATGTTTATCTACGTAAGGCAAAGTAACGAGTTGGTTAAGTACCAACTGAAAATTTCAGAATGAAGAGATGAGTAGTTTTCTCTCACATTGGGTGGTTGTGATGGTGAAGCTCTTAGAATTTTTCCAGAAATTAAATATCCTGGAAGATAGTTTTACTAATCTAGAATGAGAATTAATGCCATTTGGCTAAAAAGGTAAAGGTAACAAAAGATAGCAGCATTTCTGAATATTGTGATGAAGCATACAGTCTCTGGTGTCGGATATATCTCCATTATATGTGACCTGGGCAAGTCATTTAAGCTCTTTGAGTCAGTTTATTCATCCATAAAATGTGGATAATAGAAGTACAAAGTTTATATAATTGTTGTGAGGAGTAAATGAAATAATGTACATAAAATGCTTAGGGGAGTACTTGAACATAGTAAACTTTCCATATATTTAACTTTTAACTATTGTGTCCTTGTCTGCAGCTCCTATAGTAAGGCAATTTTAATGAAATTTTTGATGGATTTTTGCTTTCAGATTTCTGAGGGGAATTCCTGTTTGCTAAGTGAAAAATTTCCAAGTACCAGCATTTTAGTCCAGCTGTCTACTAGCCAGCATTTTTTAGGTACAACATCAGTAGGGTAAGTTAATAATGAGAACACAGAAGGGTTATTCTTTCATTCTTGCTTTCTTTTTATCATTATAACCATTCATGGAAAATAATTTTCTGACATTGTATGGATAAATTGCCAAGATTTTCATTTGAAATGTGATTTGATAAAAACACAAGTTTAAAATGCTTTTCTAAATATCTCTGGCATTTAAATATTATTATATTAATATTGGATTATCTTTATTGTCTTGTTGACTTGGGTGAGAACTTTTTGAAAAAGTATGGCTAAAATGTATTTAGTTAGGCATTAATTATCTGGTTATTAGATTAGCCTGTCATCTCTTTCTCTGGCATTCTTTTATTCCCTCTTTTTATTTTTGGCATAATTCATTATTTATGGCATAGACTGGATAGATAATAAGAAAAGCAGTATAAATCTGCAAAATGAAAAAGTTAATATTTATTAATATAACCAGTGATTAAGGAAAGTTTGCTCTGAGAAAATATGAAAACTAGTTGTGGACATAAGTGGACTCACATGATTAGGCTCTGCCCAGGTACAGTAGCATTTGCCTTCTGTGCAAGTTGAGGATGCAATGAAGAACCTGAGCACATCTGTCTGCAAAGAGAGGGCTGCATATTTTCAAGTTTCTCATTATGAAACACATTCACATTTTAACATTAACAAAACAGCTTCCGGGAGGAAAAAAAAAATTAAACCAATGCATACTCACCTTTAACTGACAAGATAGGTTGGCTTTGCTTTTCCCCCAGAGATCTCTGATTGCTGAAAGCATTGGCCACTTAGGGAATAGAAGAATGAAGATTAGAGATTAGAAGATTAGACATTAGACAGGCAGTGCTAAGGTAAGGGCTGGGCAGCCCTCTTGGCTGACCACACAGTCAGTACAGTGATGGGCATGAGGTAGCTGGGACTAATCTCTGCCAGTGATGTAATAGCTGGCAAATACTTTGGCAATTACCTCTGGAAGCAATTTCTCAATTTTTCCTTTATTTCTCATTAACTTCAGACAAACAAAAGCCATCAATAAATGTTTTTTGCCTTGCCTAAATCTATTAAATCGCCTGATTATTTCACCTACTGAGGTTTAAAATGGCATTATCCATATATTTAAAATAGCAAATGCTTATTTCTTTTTCCTAGATGTCAACCAAATGAAGATAAATGTTCTTTTAAAAGCTGCACTCCCAATTTTGTTTTTGGAGAAAACATGATAGAAAGAGTTCTGGTAAGACTTTGGTAAATGTTTCTATTATTATTTAGAGAGCTGTCACTTCAGATTTCTAAAGACAAATTACTTAAAAGCAATGTTAAATTGGAGTATACTTTTAAACTCCTGGGTTCAAAGGCACATTTTCTTTCTTTAACAGGATTCTCCAGGGAAGCACGTCCTGGTTGTTAAAATAATAGACAAGAACCCACAGGAGAAGGAAATTGCATAATTACACCATTATTACTGATGTGAAATATTAAATAGTTCTTTGACTTGTGTTAAATCAAAGGTACCGAAGGAAATCCCAAAATTATCTGCAAAATTTAGATAAGCTCAGTTGGTGATAATATTTTAATATAGTTTTTAATAGCATTTTATAATGATGCATTTAAAATTATTTATCAGTTTGTTAATTTATTAGTTAACCACAACCGTACCTTCAATCTCTTAAATAAGAAAGCATTATTATAACTTTTTTTTTGCTAGTTTTAAGAGAAAAATAATAGTGCCTTACTTGCCTAGGGGAATATACTTGCCTAGGAAAACCCCTAGCTATTATTACCATCATCATCCTTATTTAATATTGAGCATCCTCCTGACGAAGCAGCTGCTGCTCCACTTCCTATACAGCTCTGCTTTCTGAGACAACATAATCTACAGTGGGGAATTGTATAGTAAAGTGAAAGCTGTGGAACAACTATGTCTATGATTTTATGTGGTTCATCTCTATGCCTTTTCCAGCTGTTTATTTTAGACATGCCTCAGGCTACATACCAATTTAAGAGCTTTTTGCTTAGAGGCATCATTCTGTAACTCCCCAAATAAAGGTCGACTCTACCAATCCTAGAGCTGTTGATCTATATCACTGGATCTGAACCAGAATGGACCAACCTCCCAAATGACATTCCAGGAGTATATTTAGGCTCATTTATTTCTAAGTTTGATACTAGATTAGCCACATCTTCTGTAAAATGTCAGACACGATGCCTTCCAAACCTCACAGGATCAACTTTTACATTGAACTCAATTTATCAAACATTTATTGAGTTATTATGGTATGTAAAGCATTGATCTCAAGTTTGGTTGCATATTAGAATAATTCTTTAAAGGATTTCTTATGCCTGGGCCTTACTCCAGACCAATTAGATCAGAATGTGGGTGAGGCCATCTGTCAAGTGACTCTAATAGGTTTTAAAACCACCTGAGAAGTGGTTATGCAAAACTAAAGGAGATGTTGTGCCCTGGAGATGCTTACAATCTACTAAGAGGAGGCAGAGAGATATTTATACAAATAAACTAGTTGTGACTATAGGTTTGATTTGAGAAGGCATTAGTGCACATTTCCTATGGGCATCTAAAATTTGACTTATAAAGGAACCTGAGCTCCCTATTTCTTTAAGTTGGTAATATCCTAAGGACAACAGGAACTATGGAGAAAATCCGTATGTGTCCTCTAATCCTGTAAATCTGTGACCTTGTGATTTGGGGGCCAGGATGCATTCTTGACTTGTTGGCTGACCATGTGCTTTTAGAGTGAGTCATTTCAACTTTCTATGCCTCAGTTTCTATTTTCTTAAAATGGAAATAATTATACACATCTCTACCAATTTTAAGAGAATATTTTGATGTCCAATTAAATCATGTGAAATAATTTGAGTCCATAAGGGAAAAAACACAAACAACATAAACATAAGTTCTTAAGTATCATTTTTCCAGTTCTCCATGCTCTCTAAGGGGCTATACCTGATCATAAATAGCATGGCAATTAGTTTTTTTTCATTCAAGTTTTGATTGCAACAGCTATACAGAGCCACCAAGTATGTGGTGATTGTTGGTAAAAAATTGTCTTGGGGGAAAAGTGAGGATTCTTTCCACAAAGGTGTTCTCTGTGACATCTAGTGAGGTCTCCGGATAACTTTTTCCCCCATGAAGTGAATAGCAAGAGTGAATTTTGGGGAATACTGAAATACCTTAAAACAGAAATAATAGCTGTACCTCCTGGGCATAACGTTAGGTTAGTGGAAGTGTGGAACAGCTGTTGCTTTCTTTTGTTCCACTAGAACTTTTCCTTTGCTGAGGAGATTAGATCCTATCTGAAGTAGGTTGGTGGTAACTAGATTGTTTGCTGAGGATTACAACAAAGGCCTTCGAACAATGGGGAAGTATTCTCTGTTCAGCACATAAAGAGTCCAAAACAAAAACATGCCATGTTGAAATAGAACAGAAATATCTTTTGGCTAATTGCAAATATATAGGGATAAAATTAAATAATGTGTCTTTTTGTTCATCTAGGGTACTCAAAAACTCACTCAGCCTCAATTTGAAAATGATTCATATATGCAGGAAAAACCATTCAAATCCACTCTGAAATTTCCAATCAACTCTTTAAATTCAAGTAAGAATTATTTAATTTGTAAATCATTTGATTCAACTAGTTTGTCTCCTGTTTATCATGTCTTTTAATATCTATAAAATAAAGAAAAATTCAATGTTTCAAATATTTTTGGTGAGGATTAAAGCATATTTGTATGGCTACCTGATATTTGAGCTTTAAAAAAATGTTTAACTAAACGCTGTGGAAGAATCAATAAGGAGATTTAACCCAAACTCAAGAAGTCTAACTTTTTGGAAAAAATTATTGTACAAAAAGCCAAGGAGATGTGTGTCAATGGGGCAACAAAGATCTTTAAGGTAGAGAAAAGGGGGACTTTTATGTGTTTTTCCCCCATTTTCTCCTAGGAACCGATCCTATTAAAAACATGTCCCTAATTGAATCAGCTGCAGCTTTCTCTTCTCATCCACCACAAAAATGCTTGCTGGAGAAAATTGATGTTATAACAGGGGAGGAATCAGAACATAATGTGCTAAAGGTCTGTACATAATGTATTACTATTTCTGGTAGCACTCACATATATGGAATAAAGTTACCATCAGCAGGAACATCTTTAAAATTGCAGATATTTAAGTCGTTTTCATGAAGACTAAGATACTTAAATAAAAATGTTGGAGACTCTCCAAAATTAAACCAATATTTTGTTGTCTTCTTACATCTGTTATGTGTAATTTGCAGGAAAATGGGTTGTTGGGCTAACTATTCATATCAATCTCTGAGAAAGAAGACAGCCAAGGACCCTGTCTTAGGAGTACTTCAGAGGGGAGACACCCCTTATCAACAAGGGTGCCTGAACGATGCACATTTGTATACCTAACCCTTAACTGTACCCCACAATTTTATAATAAAAAATATGTTAAAAAACAACAACAAAGGAAAGCTTATCAATCAGGCACCCACTATGGAAAAAAAAAAGAGTACTTCAGAGTCATTCTTTATGCTTTTTATACTTGCTTTTATAATTAGTGCTATTATCACATGATTAAATAATTCTACTTACACTGAAGGTTTTACAATGTTGATTACTTCATTTTAGTTCAATAAGAACTTTATTTTCTTTTAAAAAAAAGTTTAGAATTAGGGCTGGGCATGGTGGCTCATGCCTATAATCCCAGCACTTTGGGAGTCCAAGGTGAGAGGATTGCCTGAGCCCACAGGTTCGAGACCAGCCTGGGCAACTTGGCGAGACCTCATCTCTACAATAAATAAATAAATAAAAAGTTTCGAATTTATATAACTCATGAATTTCACAGACGTTCTCTACAGTATCATGCAGAGAATCTGAATGTTGAGTGGTATCACTTTCAGCATAGGTGTATGAAATGTAACTACTATGTTATTATTTTTCAACAAGGCAGGAATTTCCCTTTGCTTTTCTCCATCTGCTTTTCTCCCTAACTCTCTCTATTCCTTTTCACTTCCGCCATGATCAATGGACACTTTTACTCTAATAGTGTGTCTCAAAGCATAACCTTTGGATTAGATTAACTCCAGTTATATTGAAGTAATTGTTAGGGATGAAGCCTTGGCATCCTATATATATATATATATATATATATTTGTTGTTGAGTTGCAGTCTCACTCTGTCACCCAGACTGGAGTGCAGTGGCCGCTCCCGGCACTGCAGCCTCGACCTGCTGGCTCCAGCGATCCTTCTGCCTCAGCCTTCCGAGTAGCTGGAACTACAGGAGCATGCTACCACGCCTGGCTAATTTTTTTGATTTACTGTAGAGATGAGGTCTCGCCAAGTTGCCCAGACAGGTCTCAAACCGGCAGGCTCACACAATTCACTCACCTCGGCCTCCCACAGTGCAGGATTACAGGCTGAGTCACCGAGCCCGGCTGACATCCTATATTTTTAATAGGCTGTTCAGGTGATTTTTGTACACAGTAGTATTTCAGAACCACTGAAAAATCTTAGGGTACCCTATTGCATAACATATTAGTTCTTCATGTTCTCATGCTATCTTTGAAACTGTTTAAGCATTCAAATAGTTCTATGAATCCTTTACATTGCTCAAGTAATATTAAGTTTAATTTAAAAGTTGGTATATATATATATAGATATATTGTTAAGTGAAAAAGCAGAAAGTACATATTGTATTCTACTATTTGTAGAAAAAAAGAGGGAACATATATATGTATTGGCATGTATATATATGCAAATATCTTTAGAAGGATAAACAAAATATTAGAAACAGTGGTTACCTGTTACAGGGGTAGAAATTGATAGATGGGAAACAAGGGTTGAGGGACCTTTTCACTTTGTATGTTTTTTTACTTTTTGATGTTTGAGCTATTCAAAAATTGCACGTTTTTAAAAGTTAAGTACATTTTAAAAGCTGGTTTATAAATCATTAGCAAAGGCTATTCTGGTAAAAAGATCAGACAAATATGGAAGTGTTATAGCATAGGAAATAATTTACTTTGAAAAAAATTCTATATATTTGACATTTAAAAAACTTATCATTTAGATCAACTGCAAGCTTTTTATATTCAACAAAACAACACAATCCTGGATTGAAAGGGGCAGAGGAACATTGAGACTGAATGACAAAGCAAGCTGTGACTGTGGAACATTACAGTCAAGACTAAGTAAGAAATCACTTTTTAAGGCAAATCATGGTATCTCAGGGTAAAATTATCAATATTAATATACATCATTTTCTGGAGGTGTGTTATAAAACACGTCAATAAATCAGACTGTTGAAAACATTCTATCTAACGTACTATAGGAGTGTTTTCATTTCAAGTAGGATCTCTTGTAAGACTGTATGGGATCCAGTTCTGATTCCAGCACTGACTAACTGGTGGCCTTGAACAAGTTTCTTAATCTCTGTCTGCCCTAGTTGCATCAATGTAAAATGTGAATAATTATAGTTTGTGACTTATTGAGTGATTGTTAGAATTCAATGAGATACTGCATGCAGAGTACCTATATCAGAGCCCAGCACACACCTAAATAATAACCTTACTGTTATTTTAAGGAATGTGATGTAAATTATTTTGTAAAGTGAAAAGTTTTTTTAAAAGAAAATACTTGTTCTGTAATTTATCACTGGCATTCCAAATATGGTGTGGGGGTTGGGATGAAGGATTAGTTTCTAAGGAAAAAAAGGTGTGCAGTTATTAAATCCTGTGAATAGAGTGATGATCAGAAGCTGGAGCCAGTCAAACTGAAAGATACAATAGATTTGGCACCCATAAGACACAATGGACATTGTTTAGAGGCCCAAACTGAAAGTGAGCACAGGCAGAGATCTGGGCATGGTGAATTGGTTTACTGGTTAATTTTGGGAGGACAAACTTTGGAGGACACCGCAGATGGAAGCTGGATCCAAAGCTTTGAATACTTGTCAAGTTTCAGATATTCAGATTAAAAGAACAGGAACAATGTCTTCAGTTCTGTAGACTGGCAAACAGGTTTCTAAATAACCCAACCAAGTAATTCCAGGGCAGGCGCTAGTTTTTTTGTACTCTGGTTTAATTCTACTGCCCGCCAAACCCCACTTCCCACTCCCACACACCAAAACAAAAATCAAACAAACAAAACCCAAAACAAACTCCAAGACATCTTTTCTATTTATTATGCAGTCAATACATGTTCATTGTAGAAAACAGAAAATATGGATCAGAAAAAGAAAAAAGAAATCACTTAAAGGCCTATCTTCCTGAAATAGCCTCTGGTAACAGAATATATTCTTCTGAACTTTTATACATAAATGTATTCATAGATTGTGAAATTTGTGATTCATGGTGCTTGTTATTTTGCCTTGTAACCTGATTTTTTATTCTTTTACACAGTATAATATAATCATCTTTTTACATCAATAACTATTTTTCTGCAGAATTCTTTTTTTTTTGAGTTGGAGTCTCACTCTGTCTCCCAGACTGGAGTGCAGTGGCTGCTCCCAGCCACCGCAGCCTCGACCTGCTGGGCTCTGGCGATCCTTCCTCCTCAGCCTTCCAAGTAGCCGGAATTACAGGCATGCGCTACCACACCCGGCTGATTTTTTGATTTATTGTAGAGATGAGGTCTCGCTGCCCAGGCGGGTCTCGAACCCACGGGCTCAGGCAATCCACTCACCTCAGCCTCCCAGAGGCGCGGGATTATAGGCTGAGCCACCGAGCCCGGCTTTCTGCAGAATTCTTAATGGGTTCATAATATCCTCTTGAATGGCCGCACCTTATTATTTAACAATTTTATTTTTGAACACAAAGGGTTTTGTTTTGTTTTGTTTTCTCCATTGTAAACAATTCTTGGATAAATATTCTTCAAACTACTAGGTCTTAAAATGAGTTCTAAGATTTTAACCACTTTAATATACTATGGTAAACTTAAAAATGTTCTCCAACATAATATAACTCAAATACAATTTGAAAATGAAATTATAATCTAGACAAATTACAAACTAATAGTGACTATACAGTCTGAAAAACAACTACAGGAATATACAGTCTGAAAAACAACTACAGGATTTACTTTGCTTTCAAAAATGGCAAATTCCTCTGGAGGCCTAAGGAATCAGCAGTTCTGTAGTTTGATAGATTTACCTTCCTATTTTAGTTATGCGCAATCAAGGCAGTCTGAGGCTGATCCTCAACAGCAAACTCTGGGCTCAAATGAAGATTCAAAGGGCAAACCACAAAAATTTACGAATAACAGCTACTGACTTAGAAGACTATAGCATCAAAGTATTTTTAATCCAGGTAAGTGAGAAATTCCAGTAATAGAGGATTATCCTACCATATTAATATCACTAATTTGTTTTTTTCATTTTGTTATAATAATATGCATGGCTGGCAAAAAGTCAGTCATCCATTATGGTTGTTTACTGTGTAAGATCTAAATTTTATGAAATTCAGAAGTTAACAACAAAGTCTATAAGTCTATTATCTTATATTTTAGTTAGTCTCTATATATACAGTTGTATACATTTAGTTCATTTCTATATAGGTATAGTTTCTATAGTTAATTTCTATATAAATTAACACTAAAGTCAATTGGTACTCACTCCAAGACATTTGTATGATATATACCATCAAGCCTCTACTCCTTTCTTTACTACTGAAATTATGCCAATAATTCAGTAAGCTACCAAGTGGCTGTCGTCAGGAACAGCTCCCAGGAGGAGGCTGGCAGAATATAAGGCCTAGTGCCTATCCTGCAAGCTGAGAAAGCTTTAGGATCACTGGAAAGGAATCAGTGAGAAATGGAAAAACACAGGGCTAGCAAACTAAAACAACCAGTCCAACAGCAAATTCCAATTCTGGACATGAGTAAGTCTCCAAGGTAACAAGATGGGAGCACAACTTTAGCTCTTCTTGGCAGCAGTAATGCTTGACCTCAAATACAATATCCAGATACAAGAGAACTGGCAAGAACAAAGGAAAAAGAAAAAGAAACAAGAAACCAAAAACCTAGCCCCCTGGGCTGAGATCTAGAAGACTGGAGAAGACTGAGTCTCCAAGTAACTCAGGCAGAAGGTGACAATACAAATAAATGGGCTTCTATATAATAATGGGGGAAAAAAAGTTGGTAAGTGCCCAGTGATGAACGAACAAAGGTCTAATTAAATACCACTAAGTGCACTATTAGGTGTAAGTGATATTGATTATTAAAATATTAGGGCAAGATGATGTTAAACGCTGTTCACCATTTAGGGAGACAATACATGATACCTCTGCCTGGCCAGATTCTACTTCTGGTCTTAGGTGGGTAAAACAGCATGCCAGAGACTGAGACTGTTAACCATGGTTAGACTCTGCTGCTTTAATACTTGACCCATGCTGACATTTTAAATTGTAGGAGACTTATTAGAGATAAGCAAACCAAATGCAATAAAAATCACTCAAGATGCCACCTTCAGAGATGGTCACAATTAACATTTTGGTCTTATATTTTAGTACATATGTGCATCTGTGTTCACGTATATACATATACATGTCCCATACTGTATATACTGTATGACATAAGGCAAGTTACTTAGCTTTCCTTAAACTAATTTTACCATCTTCAAAATGATCGAAACAATAATACACATTATGAAAGCTGCTGGGAAGATTAAATAGCTCATGATTGTAAAATACAAATATGTAATTTCAGTTACCAATGCAAATGAGTGTTTTCATGACATTAGTTTATTCTTCAAAAAATTCTTTTAGTAGGTGAAATCTATTCTGCTATGGACCATAATTTATTCCATCAATTCCACTGACCTGAATGACAAAAAAACCTAGGATTAGAGTTCCATTCAATGTGCTGACTAGCAACTCAGATATTTTACCTTTGTGAGTCATAATTTCCTAATTTATAAAGGGAAAGTGGAAACAGGTATATATTGAATATCTGTGCTACCTGCTTGTACAAATTGGGACTGCTTATAAAATTATACACTTTAGGATGCAATTTTGTTCAATAATAATTGGTTTTATATCCCTTAATTTTTAGGTTGTTAGCACTTATTTACATTCTAGATTTATGCCATACAATTCTTTCCTTATTAATAATGAAAAATTAAAGATCTGTAAAAGATAACTAAGTTAATTATACTGTTAACAATCTAATTTTTCCTTATACAGGCCAGTGCCAAAGATACAGGATATCTGTATACAGCAATACACCATCGTCTTGTTGCCCTTCAAAGCTTCAATAAGCAAAAAGATGTCAATCAAACTGAAAGCCAGCCAGAAACAGTTCAACAATTAAACTGTGATAGCTGTGATGAGGATGAGGATGATTTCATCCAAGTCACTAAAAATGGATCAGGTAAATAGCTTTTGCTTTGCTGGGTCGGGGGTTTAAAAAATAAATCTTTAATTCAATCCTAATACAGTAAATAGATTTTTTTTAAAGAAGTGGAACTGATCTGAAGTAGGTGTTGGTTAGAGAGCCCTAGATGTCTGGATCTGAGAAGTGAGTCTAAAAATCACAGTCTTCTATATGCAGTCTTCATTAGGATTTTACCAAGTTAGCCTCATCATGATGCCTGTATGTCATTTGACTATAAGTTGCATAAAAGACTGCTTACAATTTGAATTATTACATTACTGACCTAAAACTAACCATCCATTCGTATTTTTCTTCACTTGTTCTCATTTTATTATTGGTTATAATAGGAGGAATTATAAATACATGTAATGTGGTCACTACGTAAATCTGACTTGAAACTGAAAACTCTGTTTTATTCTCTTTTTGGAATTTGGCTTATAAGAATAACAAGACTCTTATAAAAGATTGTACTAGTATTATTTTCAAGAACCTCCTTTGCCTAAGGCAAAAGGTTATTATTTCTTTTTTTGTGTGAGGATTTGCAAATATAAGTGAAGCACAGTCAGTGGTAAATAATTTTTAGGTTTAGTGCTTGTCTTGATGTGTGAATTTAACAATATTCATCATTCTGAAGAAAAACATTGTCAAAGAAATAGTAAGCTCGACTTTGTTATATAGTTGTAGCTATTCTAATAAAGTCATCCAAGTATTTTCAGTAATAGTTTCATTTAGTCCTGAATTCTGTTCTCCAGAGGCCTGAGTAATACAGTTACAAAGATAGTGTGATAACAAGCATTTTTTTCCCAACTTTTAAACATTTTGAAATCTCAAAGGGGCCTTAATCATACATAATTTAAGAATCTATCAAAAAGCATATGCATAAATGAATGAAATATCCTCCTTTACTTAGTACTAAAATATAATACAAAATAAAAATACACAAAACATGCAGATTGGTATCATAACCTGCTTGACTCAGTAAGCCAGGGAACTAAGTGAATATGATTTTTCTTGCTATTTTAAACAAATCTAGTATGCAAATAGTTTATTCATCTTTGAAATACATAAAATGAATAAATAAAATTATCTTTTGTATTATTATGTTTATACTGTCAACAATAAAATGGAATCTGTTAGAGAATTAGTTGGTACCCATTAACAAGGTCAGTGTGAAATAAGGATTAAATGGCAAATTCTCTCACCAACCAATGACACATGCTTATGAAATCCATTTTAGAAAAGGGGTGATTTGCAACTATCTTAATGCAAAACAATAGAAATAATACAAATGTCAATCATATGAACCACTTTTCCTCTGCCATTTTTTCCCCTTTTCACTTAGTATCTATTCCAGAAAGTATTGAAAACAAATGCTAAAACATTATAGAAGTAATAAAAAGTCCAATTTTTGAAAGTTTTTACTCATGAATTAAGGCTTAGTTACTTAAAAAAAAGTTATGTTTAAAATTATTAACAGCATCTCCAAATGTTACTTGTAAAAATGTAATTCTGTATCTCTCATTTTCTCATCAGTGAGTATATTAATGAGTATTCATGTTCAGTTGCATTCAATATTAAATCTAGTCCAAATATATCATTGTATAATTAAATATTTTAAATTTATATCACAGATCCTTCTAGGTGGACTCACAGACAGTCGGTTGCCTGTTCATGAACACTATCTACTATAAACATGACAACATCTTCAAAAAGATTGGTCATCATACAGAAAATACTAAATCATTCTAACTAACTGAGAAGATTCTATGTATTCCTTGAAGAGTTTTTATAGAAAAGTTTAAGAAAATACAATTTGTCGCAATTAACATTTTTCTTTTATGTTTCACATTTCGATTATTGTGGGGAAAAATGACAGAATTTAAGAAATAAATGGACTTCATTTATCATTTTTGAAGACTGAAGAAGCAGCTAATTTAGAATAGGATATGACAACTAATTTGGACTCTTCATCACATTGATGGATATAATACTTAAAATTATAAATTGCAAGATTTGATAACTAACAAAAATGCTTAATTTTTTCAATCATACATTATCTGGCCATAGAATAAATATTTTTATTAAATTTCCAGAGTAATTTCTTTGAAAAAAATACTGTAATTGCATGATAACATTTCATTAAATCATGTTTATCTTCTGGGAAATGTATATTTTTCATTTAGCCTTTGGATTTCCTAAAACTGTAAGCTTATATAGTCACAGTATGAATTCCTTTAAAAAGCACATCTGTTCTTGGACTTGTACCCATTGTATCTTGTATAATATGCTTAACTCATGGTTAGCATCCAATAGTTGTTCAAAGTATAATACATTAACTATGTATTAAAAAGCAAGTATATACCAAATATATTAACTTACTGTTCTTTGATTTATGTAATTACATTTTCATTAATATTCTAGTTGGTGTGGCTGTTTAGATTTTTTAAAAAACAAATGTATCATGTATAGCCAAATGTCTTTTTCTTAAATGTCATTATTATTATAGTAGCCTATAGTAATTTCAACAATTGTACAACAGAATTTCAATGTTCTTCTCTGAGATTTGTTTCAGAGATACTTCTTGAATCACCAAAAAAAATTAGTCTCAGTACTTATAGACCACATTTCATTTTTCAATCCAGTCTGATCACTAATGGATAAAAATTCACAATTCCAGAATGATTTCTGAAAATGTTCTGAACAATGACAAAACTTTTGGTATACGGGTATAACTTCACAAAGAACAATATTCATTTGGAAGTATACATGTGAATACATATTTTAAAAGGTATACTGCTTTATTATAGTACTTTTTATAAAATAACTAAAAATATAATTATGTATTTTAAGTCAAACCTTAGCTAATGCATGGACTTAACTTAGCCTATAAAAGTTGAATTAACTCTTTTAGATTATGATTTAGTTAATACGTTAATTGTTCAAAGTTTCACTCTTTCCTTGTGACTATAACTTAGTGAAAGTTAGCTACTAAGCAAGGTCCATTCATTCTTCTAGTGACTATAGAAAAAATCTGTTACATAATATCCTTTACTATTTAGTTAAGCAATGACTCAGAAAATGAAAAGAAAAAAAGTTAATGTAAGAGAGGAAGAGAGAAAATGTAAAGAGAAGGAAAAAAAGGTTGGGGGGGGGGAGAAGGAAAGGATAAAAAAGAATGGAAAACAGAAATTCTCTCTCTCTCTTTTTTTCCTTTCCAGAAGAGTGACCCTGATGCAGAACACACTCAGTGGAACATAGACATGGAGACATTTGGGGAAGATATTAACATATTGGTTCTCTTTTATTGTAAGATCTTAGGTGGTATGGGAATGTTGGGATTGTACTATAACTGTTAAGGTGAAGAAGATAACAGAGATCTTTATTTTCCTGACATGTTCAGTCTTGTCTCCATACTAGGGTAGAGATGAAGCAATATTTGCTCAGTGCTCCGAACATTTTAATATAAGTTGAATCATTCCTTCTAAGTTATTCTTTGGATTTCCCTGTATATCTCAATGGAAAAACATTAGACTACCTTATTTTCTTATCTATATAGAAATGCCAGAGCAACAGAATCAAAAATAGGATTGGAATATCAGGAAGGCAAAGAAAGAAAGACGGAAAATTTCCAGATTATGAAATGGGTAAAAGCAGCAGAACACAGCATTTAGCTTAGATTCTTTCAACTTACTTCCTGTCCACTATATATTCTTTCTTATAATTTTTATGCAAATATTTAGTATTATTTTGGAGGAAAAATGGAAATAGAAACATTTTTTAGTTTTTCCTTGTCCTATATCTTTATCTAGCTTTCTCCTTTTTTGGCTTTTCTGTATCCTTTGTCCTCCGTTAACATGAAGAGATCAACTGTACGATACTATTAATTTTCATGAGTAGTTTAGGTAGTTGATTTGAAAGTATACATTTTGGATTTCCATAAAGATGTTTTTATTAAAATTTGCTTAACTATAATATTATATCTAATCATGTATCTTTTATGAAATAATATAAACTTCCTTCTCTTTCAATAGGATTTTACCCAATTGTTTACCTTAGTTATGGATCATTAAAATATTCTCAAAAAATAGTTTACATCCATTACTGCCAAAAGAGGGAACCCTTAGTTCCCAGGGGAATATATCCTATACAGGTCTTAGAATATGTGAATGTCATTAAAAGAGGGGTATATATCTTTCACAGAGTCATAATGGACATAAAGTGGGGTGGAGAGGGTTCTAGGGATTGAGAAGGATGCATTTTAAGACCTCTAAAAAAATTCCTGATCATAATTTTTGCTAAGTTAATCTAATCATTTTCTCTTTTAGTTGCTTCCTAGTGTATATGCAGGATAAAAGCCAAGTTCGTAGCATGGATTAAATATTTTCCATGATCTTTTCCTATCTCTGCAGCTTCACCTCCTAGTGTTTGTTGATTCCATCTAAATTCTCTAGGAATTCAGAACTGCTATTTTATTACTTCCACACATTTGCTCATGTTATTTTTCTGTAGAATTCTTTTCTCAATCTTGCTTTACTCATTCTTTAAGTCTTAGCTCTTGACATTTCCAAATAAAAGCTTTTCTTAACTCTTCTTAGACTAACACCTGTTCCTCCTAATTCCTATAGCTGTGTAGAACCTTATCGCATAGATTTTAGGCTCCTCAAGGGCAGGGACTCTTTATCATTTATTCTCTAGCACCTAGTGGGATGCCTGGCCCACAGCAGGCACCCAAAAATAATTTGATCTCCATTGATACGTGATGTATGTGTAAGACTCGGGACATTATCTAACAGGAAGCTAGATAAGGATTGGAAGTTCAGTAGAAAGACGTAGGCAGTAGCTGAAGTCATGAAAGGAGGAAGGGGCCAAGTGTCTATTTTGTAATGGGCACAGAGCTAGGCATCTGTGCATATATTTACAATTTTACAAGGCAGCATTTATATTTTATAATAAAGAAGTAGGCTCAGAAAGGTTGAGCAACCAGTTCAAGCTAATAAATACTTTATTAGTTCAGCTAATAAATACTAAAGCTAGGATCTGAACCATGGTCTAATTTCAAGGCCCAATCTCTTTCCATTCACACACTGAATGAACTCATGCTCGTGCACGTGTGTGTGTGTGTGTGTGTGGTGTGTGTGTGTGTGTGTGTGTGTGTGTGTGTGTGTGTGTGTGAGAGAGAGAGAGAGAGAGAGAGAGAGAGGGAGGGAGACAGAGAGAGAAGAGGAAGGGAGAGAAAAGAGGGAGAAAGGAGAAGACAAGAAAAGAAAGAAGACATATCTTGGAGATGGGCTTAGGAAGAACTCAAAAAAGGGCACAGATTCGAGGAATGCCATTAGGGACTGGTATACTGGGAGACAGAGCCAAAGATTTCAGGAAGAAATGGTAGCAATTTAAAATGCTTCAGAAAGATCAATTAATTTAAGAACCAACAAAAAGCCTTTTAAGTTTCAATCGGATCATTTTGTAAGCTTGGAAATAGCAGTAATGAGTGAAGTGGCGGGGAGAAAATACATTACAACAAGTTAAAGAGTCAGGGATGTGGCAATCTTAGCAGTATAGGGAAGGTAAAAAACCCGGGCTTCGAAGGTTCATTGTTTTGTTTTTTAAAACATTTAAAAGATTCCTTAGACATGAGCTTGTTTAACTACTAAAGGGGAAAATCCAGTAGAGAGGGAGAATTCAAGATATGAGTTAGATATACATATAACTTGATGAAACATTTTTTAAAGAAGTGGAAGAAGATAAAATGCAAAATGATGATGAACAAAGGGATATCCCAACTGAGATGTCAATGTATTTGTAGCTGAAAGTGGAAGAGAGCCAAAAACTTAAGTTCCTATTTATGAATTGGGAAGTAAAGAGGTCTGAAATTCCACATACACACAACAAAACTCATAGTCTTTGATCCCAAACAGGTAGGTCCCTACTTACTGTTTTCTATCAAATGGATCAATTAACATACTCCTATTCACCCAGTCTTCAAACCTCACTGTCATCTGTGACTTCTCCCTTCTCTTCTTAATAGCTAATGAATTGTTAGGTTTAACATCGCTAAGAATACAAAGGAGTCTGATGATGTTCAAATTACAGACGTTACCTCCCCAGAAGTTGAGGTTACTTAAGGTTGTTACACTACAAGCTGCTATTAGTGGCAGCTGCCAGGCAAAGTTCTTGGTCAGATAGGGTCAGCGACAGAACTTTTAAAAGTTAACACCCACCAGACTCAATTGTGTATATTCCTAGCCTATTACACTACTTGGCACACAGTAGGTACTTAATAAGTAGAGTGATCTAATGAACGAATGCCAGTGCTGGTGACTGAGAAAGTTCACAGATTCACCGAATCAGTGAGGGCTTGAAAGAACCTTGGCTCGTTCTAGTTCAACCCCCTCACTGTACGGAGGAGGACTCGGAGGCCCAGAAAGATGAAGTAACAGGCCCAAAGTCCAGAAGCAAGTTACTGGCAGTGCGAGAATTAACAAAGGAGCAAATAAGCTGCCAAAGCAAGAGGATCTAAGGAGTAGGAAGAATGCAACATCAGGATGTGCACTGCCATCGGATTCTTTCCTTATAATAGGAGTTTTCCTTCTACTTCCGTGATGATTACCGTCACCAGGTCCTTATCCCAACAGCCTCTCGACAGGCTCCCTTCCTCTTGCCTCCCAACCTACCCAGCATTCCATAGTCAGATCAATAGTCACCAAACATTGCTTTGACTCACACCTTTCCGTTTAAAAGCCTTCAAAGAACTAACTACCTGCCTGCAGGATAAAGTCCAAATTACTAACATTCTTCACCCTTCACTCTTGTTCTATCTAGTTTTTTAACCTTATCCTCCCAACTAGAAATGTTCCCACCGGCCAGACTCTCTACCCATTATCCTAACAACTCCCAGTCCTCCAACGGCTGCGCTTTTCTCCCTCCACATGGATGGCTTTTTGGTGGTCAGCGGAGTGGGCACGGGCCCCACGCTTGGAAGGTACTGTGGTTGGCTTAATGCTCTGCGGTCCTTCTGGATGTTATTAGTGACACCTGAACTTGAGGCTCCATTTTGCACTAGGCCCCGCAGACTACGCAGCCGGTCCTGGGTCAGGCTCTTCAGCCCCTAGCCAGCGTTGGACACACCAGCTCTCCAGCAGGCACCAGTTAAATGAACGAACATTGGGCATGCTGCCCAGTTTTAGAGGAAATAAACGAAAAGAACAGAACCCGAGCGAGGAACTGCACCGAAGTTGCCTTCCGGCCAGCAGCTCAAAGCCCCACCCGCAGCACAGACGCCCCCTCAGACCAGTTCCAGCTGGATTCCTCAGGGCAGCTCGTACACCAAATAGAATTCCACCTCTTTTCCTGGCCGCAGCCAATCCCCGCAGCTCCTCGGGCTCCGAAACTGGGGCGGCCTCTTATTGGCCGATAGAGTTATCCTGGGGCGGGGCAAAGAGCGACCGCAGGGAAGGGGGTGGAGGGGAAGGTCGGTCCCTGGGCGGCGGAGCGGTCACTGCGCAGGCGCAAATGCCACAAATAAACAAACAAACAAAAGCCACCAGCCTGAGGCCTTCCTCTCTACCCCGCCCACCTTTCCCTCGCTTGGGGTCTCCCGCCTTCCAATGGCCACGCTTTCCCCGCCCCCGTCCACGTCTGGGTGCGTCCCGCTAGCGGCGCGGGCCACGCACGTCCCTGCACTTAACCTCTGCCGGCCCGGCGCGAAGTTAGAGGCCCGGGAGGTGCAGGCTGGCGGTGGGGAGCAGAGGCGGGAGCCCGAACCTGCGGCGGCCGCCGCCGGGTCGACGATGACTTGCTACCGAGGCTTCCTGCTGGGCAGCTGTCGTCGCGTGGCGGGCCGCCAGGCGGCGGCGCTGCGGGGGCCGGGCGCTGGAGGCCTCGCCGCGCGGCCGCGTCTCGGCGGTGACGGCGGCGGCCGGCGGCACCTGGGGCACGGGCAGCCGCGCGAGCTGGCGGGCTGTGGCAGCCGCCCCGACGGCGGCTTCCGCCCCTCGCGGGTGGTGGTGGTGGCCAAAACCACCCGGTACGAGTTCGAGCAGCAGCGGTACCGTTACGCGGAGCTCTCGGAGGAGGACCTCAAGCAGCTGGTGGGTCCCGGCGGCCCCCTCCGTTGTGTCTCGGCTCTCCCGGGTTAGCTCCCTGGCTCGGCTGGGGGCTTTGGGGTGGCAGCGCCCCCTCGGGAGAGACCTCTCGGGACGACTCTTCTCCCCTCCACCCAAAGCACTTGAGATGCCCCGCCTGCCTTTCTCGCAGCTCCCACTCCCTGTGGCTTCGTCGGGAGGCCCCTCTTGCTCTGTTGGTGGCGGGTATATGGGGCGGGGGAAGAGGGTCAGTGTTACTGCGGAGACCTCCAAGGCTGGGGCGCCAGGAGGAAGCCTTCGGTGGAGGAAGAGGGCCTGCTCAATGGCCCCCGAGGGTGAGAGGTTTGGGGAATCGCGTGTGCTCTCCCCCCCCCCCCCAACCCCTGTTGTGACCCACCCCGAGCAACTGGGCCGGTGGCCTGAGTTGTGGACGCTCTGGAAACAGCTCCCCAGGCAGCCCCGGGAAAGGAGGCCCCCGGGGCGTCGCTGAGGCCCACAGAAAAATGGACCGCTCTGCTGCGGACACACCCCCTTTTTCTCTGTTGAGGCCTGGGCGCTCTGGAAAGCCCTTTGGGACGAGGCTTTTCCATGGTGGAACTTGATGCTTAGACAAGGTTCTAGCAGTGTGTTTTAAAAGCACTTGTCTTTGGAGCTGAAAAGGGCAGGGGAGAAAATTTGGGACTTGAATATATGATAAGTGGAAATATCAGACAAGGGGCAAGTGTACCAGGTAATGTATGAAAGAAAAAGCCTCTGGCTGTAATGTAGCAATACCTTCACAGTAAACTATATTTGACATATTTATTGCTATATTTGCAAAGTATATAAATCCAAGGGGGGAAAAAAAACCTGGGGATCTTCCTCTTACTCCACACTCCACACCCCCCCTTTAAAAAAAAAATGTTTCTGTTCCCACACCTTCATCCACCAACTTGAGGAAGAGGAGCGTGACCAGTACTACCATGAGCACTATGTCCAGAAAAATCTGTTGGAAATCTCTAATTGTTTACTACACTGTGCACCAAGACTTTGGAATTAATTGCATGTAATCATAATCTAGTTGACTTCTGTGCATGAGTAGACAGCTTGTCCTAAATGTTTGGTATCCTACATAATCTTCAGCGAAGTTATTTTGCAGAGATGTCAAAATGAAATTGTAAATCATCTTTGCTTAAGTAGCAAATCTATTGTCAACATTAAAGATCTTGCTTCTTTGGTGGGTTAATTGAAGAGGGCCCTTGCATTCACCTGATGGTAGTCTAGGTGCAGATTTATTTTCTTTCTTGTTCTTAGGTGTTTGAAGGTAGTGGCTTATAGAGCACACTTGCATCATTTAAAGTGTGAATCAACAGTTTGAACAGGAGGTTAGGGTAGTTGAGTTTGTGTTAGGAACTGAAGTTGTGGGAAGGCAAGAAATAGTTAATGCCAGAAGAAGATACATTGTTTCTGTTTTGGGAAAGGGGTGTGTCCTTTGGGCTATACTCTTAATTTTTCAAGGTCTAGCTTTGAGAAGTTGTCAAATGCCATCATGCATAAATATGTTCTTCATACAGTTTTTCTGAAGCCTTTCACAACAAATTAAAATAGTACACTCAATTGGCATGTTCAGAGGGTGTGATTATGGGTGAGGAGCTCAGAGTTTTAGGCCTTTGTTCTGCGTGGTTAACTTCCTATGTGTTTTTAACTTCTCTGGGCTTGGGTGAAAAATGATACTTTTTGTGTAGTATTGTCTGTTTTAAAAATGCTTTCATCTAGTTCATTATGTGAAATGCTGGCCTTATACTAGATAACCTCCAAGGTCCTTTCTAGTGTTGGCATTTTGAAACTCTAGATAACTTTATCAAGGCCTAGAGAAAATGGGTGGCATCTCAATTAGCATTAACTCTTGGACCTCTGAACTAGATTGCCACTAACAAAAAACTTTTAAAATGTAGGCAAAATCAATAAGTATTTAAAACTCAAACTACCTAGTGTACCCACCCTGAGTGGAGAAATCTCTAATAAGTAAATATTTGTCTGTTGCTAGGTAATGCTTTGGGATAAGAAACCTTTGAAGTAAAACTTCTGGACTATAGAATACACGGTTTTGTAATTGCAAGACAGTGGAATAGTATTTGTTGATGTTGTTTTTATAGTTTTATTGGATTTGTGTTATCAATAATATTAAGCTGGTACTCAGAATGCAGTGCATTGGAAGTGTAGCCCAGATGAGTGATCAGGAGTGAGCCAAAGAATACTGGGTTGTGTGAAGTGTTGGTAACAGTGATAAGGTGATTAATATTGTACACTATATTGGGGTAAAAAAATACTAAGGTATATGAATCATGTGAATAAGAAATAAAGCACCCAGTGCTTGAGTGTTCACCATGGCTGCTAGGTCTGTAGTGTCATGGTAACTTGGTTTTGTATCAAAGCATTCTCTTTTGTTGTGGTTGTTTTCTAATGCAAAATAGGTCTATTAGGATATTTGTTAAAATGCAAATGGAAGATGAGGGTTGGAGTGCCTGTATAACTTTATACCCTGAAGCCTCCTGATCTTCCAACTTTGTAGAAACATAAACAATTAGAGGAAATAAGTTTTGGTTAATGAAACATGTACAGCGTCTTTAAGCTGGGCCAAAGTTTTGGCTTTCAGTTACTCTTTCATGTTGGCAACATTGCTTTTGTCTTTTCCCCCCACTGACTGACCAATGACTTGCGATCCAGGATTTCTAGTCACACATTTTACTTCTCAGAAGAAACAAAACTGACTTGAAAAGGATTTTGATACCAGAAACACACATTATTGGTCAAAAGAAGATTTTATTTAAACGTTTTTTAATATGTACCAAATAAGAAGTCAGTAGTTTCTAGCCTCCTTGTCTCCATTACAAGACTTACAATTTAAGAGGCAACTCTCTTTAATGGTTCCCATTTTTAGTTTTTTAAAATTTAAATTCATAATGGGATAAAATAATTTTATTTAATAGTCTGCTCTATATTGGATTAAATAATTCCTACTTACTGCCTTCTTAGCTGATTTGGGAGGTGTAGCACTTTGGATTTTGTTTCCTTTTGGGCAGATAATACTTTTGCCACATGGTATGCACTAAGTGTATTGTATATAGTATGATTATTTATGAAATTAAAGAAGTGATCTGGAGTACTGCCAGAGCCTTCTAACTCAATCTTGCTCCTCTCAGATCTTCCAGACACAGTCACCAGAGTGGTCTATCTGAAATGAACATCTGGCCATTTCACTCCACTGCCTAGAACTCTTTAGAAGCTTTCCATAACCTTTACTCACCTAGGAATTTATTGAAATACAAGTGCCTGAACCTTAGCCCCCAAGATTCTGATTCAGTGTGGAAAATTCTCAGACTTTGGTTTTCTGAGCCACAGTCCTAACATCTTTGACTCTGGCTGAATTACAGAGACCTGCATTTTTAATCAGCTCTCCAGGTTTGCAAGCAGTGCCCAGATCACACTTTGAGAAACATTGTTATGGGCTAAAGTTCATGATCCTTAGTATGCCAAATAAGTCCTTTTCTGAACTGGGTTGAGCTTCATTTCTGGTCGGTTCTTACCTTGAACTTTATATTCCGGCAGTTTTAATTTCCATTAGATGTTTTGATGATTTAGTATGATTTATTTATGGGTCAGTAACACATAAAATGGTTCACAATGTAAAAGATACAGACTGATATACAGTGAAAAATCTTTCTCATATTCCTGTCACTTGTCATTGTTTTTGTCTCCAAAATTGGTATTACTAGTTTCTGGTATTACCTTCCAGAAATAATCTCTCTCTCTCTCTCTCTCTCTCTCTCTCTCTCTCTATATATATATATATATACACGAATCAACACAGTGAAATTTTGTTTTTCTTTGCCCCATTCCTTTTTTATTCACTAGCACACTATTTAAGCTATTCTGCACCTTTTTTGACTTAATAATATTTTCTGAGATAAAAGAGCATTCTCATTCTTTATTTTGATATTTATATTATGCCATTGTGTGCCTTAATTTATTCTTTTATTAAATACATTCTGAAATGATTAACATTTGTGTTCATATGCATGTAAATCCAGCTGTAAGATAAATACCTAAAAGTGGAATTACTGAGTCAAAAGGCATGTGCATATTAAATTTTAATAGATATTACTTAATTGTCTCCAGGAGAGGAGGATATGTATGGGGGTAACTTTTTCCCTAAATAGGTTATCAAATTTGGGGTCTTTGCCAGCCTGGTAGATAAAAATGGTATTTCAGGATGGCTGAATTTGCATTTATCAGTGTTTTTACTTTTGTAGGCCCCTTTGCTTTGAATGCTCTTCTCTATCCTCTAACCAATTCCTGTTCTTTTTTTGAGGTCAGACTCAAACATCACTCTCTCAGGATGCCATCTTTGGTAACCTTGTTGTGCCCCTGCCTCTGACAAGGTT